TTGGGTTTTGCCTCATAACCCATGAAAAGAAGAAAAAGTGTCATTTTCAGGTCTGATTAAGAAAGTTCATAATAAGTTGCAAGCTTGGAAGGGGTTTCTTTTGGTGGCAAAGTTGTGCTTATTAACATTGTCCTAAATAGTATTTCTATTTATTTACTCTCTACTATCAATTCTCCTAAGTGTGTGATCCATGACCTGAACAAAATCTTTGCTAGATTTTTTTTTAAAATGTCAAGGAGGCTGGAAGAAGCAAACACTTGATTGCATGGTTTGATATTTGTTAACCTAAGAAGGAAAGGCTATCTGGGTGCAAGTCGTTATTGATGTTGGAAGAGCTTTGTTTGCGAAGTTATGGTGGGTCTTCAGGACTCAAAAATTCCTTTGGTCAACCTTTATATGGAACACATATTATAAGAAGAACAGGCCTCATATGGTAGAATAGAGAGGTGGTTCTCAGACTTGAAAATATATGTTAGAAGCTAGATATATATTTGATCGGGAGATATGGTGGGAGCCTAAGTGTGGGCATTCAAGAGTGTGGTTTGATAACTGGACTCAACTGGGTGCTCTACATTATTTCATCCCTATTACTAGACATTTGATAACACTCAACTACACTTCATCCAATTCTAAGTGTAGGCGATCGTAATCTAGTATAAACCCAACAAAGAGTTGGGGTCGATCCCACAGGGAGTGATACGGAATGGAATTCAATTAAGAAGTAAAAAGTGTGTTCTAATCGGTTGTAAAAGTAAATATTATCGAAACAAATCAAAGTAAATTTAAGGTTTGACAACAAGTGTCAGATGGGGGATCAGGTTTGTCAATTAGCAACTTTAACAACTACAAAAACAGGGGAGTGATCAAGTAGAGAGGGATCCTTGGGGATGTGATCGATTAATTTCCAATTTCGCTATACAGGTGATTACCAATTACTGAAATTCAATGAGTCTTGACGATCACCAGGATTGCACTTCTTCATCTTTTTCGCTCCTTTTTGTCCGGTAATGTCTTTGCCTTGCTCTTTTGTCTTCATTGCTGCAAATCAACACTTTAACATCAGTTTAGAACATAAATTAGGCATTGAGAACAATAAAACTATGAAAATAAAGCTCCAAATGAGTCGAAATCCCTGACTCATCAACATCTCAACTTACAGTTGGATGAGGTAAGACAATTATTCAGCGAAGGTAAGTCACATGAAGAATTATTATCAAATACATTCAATTAGATATTTGATCATATTAAAAGAATGGGCTAGCTACAAGAGAGGGTGGAAGAATGGGACAAAGCTTTGTGGATGCTAAACAGTACTGGAAAGTTCTCTGTTAGATCAGTTGCCTGGGAAGTCATTAGACCAAAAAATGATCTGCATAAGGAACTATGCAGCTGTTGGGCAAAAGGGGTGCCTTTCAAAGTGTCTTTTTATTTATAGAGATTATGGAAGAAAAGACTACCAGTTGGAGAAGTTCTCAGCAATGGTAGGATTGCAAACTTTGTGGTGTTTAGTTGTTGCAATCAAGGAGTTCAAGAATCTTTTGAACACCTTTTTCATGAGATGCCTTGATTTTGAGATAATGTGGAAAGATTTTACAGCAGTTGTTGGACTATTTGGCCCTTTCTTACACTTAAGAGACACATTTAATAAGTGAGAAACTTCAAATATGGCTCCTAAATTGAAGCCTTTACTCAAAGCAGTTCCTATGTTTATAGTGCGACAAATATGGAGAAGAAGGAATGCTATAGTTCACGGAGAAAAGATGTCTAGAAGTAGCATGAAGATGGATATTAACAGGAATCTATGTTTAATGGCAAAAAGTCTATAGCCTTGGTTAATAAATACTCCCTTTGTCCCTAATTATTTGTCCACTTTTCCATTTTTAGTTGTTCTTAATTACTTGTCCATTTTGACAAATCAAGAAAGGACAATTTTTACCTATTATTACCCTCAATTAATTACTTTTTGAAAAAGGTAGAACTTCTTGAAAATCTGAAGTTTTTAATTCATCTATTTCATAATTAATAGGAGTAAAATGGTAAACTCACTATGTCAATCATTATTTTCTTAATAGGTGTGTCAATTCAAAAGTAGACAAGTAATTAAGGACAGAAGGAGTATGTCTTCTACATGGTCTGATATGGTTTATTGGCTGAGTTTTACAGCCCTAGGATAGGGTGTAAGGTGGTATATAGCCTCCAATTGAGGTTGCTTTTATATGTAACACTGATGGAGCTTGTAAAGATAGCTTTGGTTTAAGTTCAGGTGCCTATTGTGTTAGAAATGATGCAGGAAGATTTATATTTGTTGAGACTAGAATGTTGGGTTACTGTACTAACTTGGTGGTAGAGTTCAAAGCATTTCGGCCTGTTAAAAAGATTTTAGAGGGTCTATGGGAGACCCCTTGGAATGTTGCTATGGAAGTAAGGAAGATTTGAAAATTGATGGAAGAGGTTTCAGTTGTGGTGGAGCATGTATTTAGAGAAGGAAATAAGTTGGCTGTTTTTTTAACTAACGAAATTTATTTATTTTTACAAATGTCGATAATACATCTTATAATAATACTCAAGAGCAATAAAGAGATGCAAAATGATCTTAATTATGGACAGAGTTCAAGTTCCAAATTTAAGAATTAGAAAGTTTCAACATGAAGCTTACAATTAATAAGAAATGGTGGAATAAACAATCACAATTATACGTTTACAAACAAGAAGACTTTAGGACCAGCGTGCATGACATACAAATGACAGAAATACAAACTACAAATATTTATTATGTAGGTATTCCTTAATTAAATGGAAAAATTACTTGAATACACAACTTATTTTACCATATTCTCTAAAATTTTCTACCATTTGAAAAAATTGCAAAAAAACTCTACTTTCTCCTATTCTCGGATACATCACTTTACGTGATGCATTGGTTGGATAAATCACTATACGCAATGTATCGGAACATAATACATCACTTTACCCGATGTATCAGTTGGATACATCACTATTCACGATGTATCGATATGTTGAGTGATGTATCCAAAATTGAAACGCAATGTATCGAGACGTTGAGCGATGTATTTAAAATAGGGATGCGATGAATCGGGACATTTTGGATGTATTTGAATTTCACTAAATTTAAGAGATTTTTGTAATTTGATAAAGAGTATGGATAGAATGTAATTAGCTCTTAACACTATGAAATTTGTGTAAAATTCCCTAAAAAAATCACAATTTTTTTTGTAAAGAAAAAACCATTGCATATCTATAATTAAATGTAAATACCTTAAATAATATATAGAAATAGTTAATCCGTCTTCCTCAAAACAGGATATGGGCCAACACACAAGCTATAGGACTACTAACCGGCAGTTAACCCTTAACGCGAATAATAATGATTGATACTAAACCGAAGCCTTTATTTAAAGCAATTCTTATGTTTATAGTGTGGGAAATATAGAGAAGGAGGAATGATATAGCCTTTATTCAGAAATCTATGTTTAATGGCCAAAAATTAATATCCTTAATTAGTTGATAAATCTGTATTCTACCTGTTTATTGGTTGAGTTAGGATAGTGTGTAAGGTGGTATATTGCCTCCAATTGAGGGTAACATTGATGGAGCTCGTAAAGATAATCCTGGTGGTGCCTAATGTGTTAGAAATGATGCAAGAAGATTTGTATTTGTTGAGACTAGAAAGTTGGGTTATTGTACTAACTTGGTGGTAGAGTTCAAAGCATTTCGGCTTGGATTGAAATATATATTGCACCTCTCAGAATCTCGTGCCTCTCACTATGGAAAAAGATTCACTCTCTGTTAAAAAGATTTTAGAGGGTTTCACTATGGGAGACCCTTTTGAATGTTGCTATGGAAGTAAGGAAGATTTAGAGATTGATGGAACTAAGGGGTTTCAGTTGTGGTTAAGTTGGCTGCTTTTTTAACTAAGAAATTTTCCTTTTTTTTAGATGCCGATAATATAATCTTACAAGTTATTATAATAATACTCAAGAATCATCAAGAGATGCAAGAATGATCAGAACCCAACTTCCAAATCTAAGAATTAGAAAGTTACAACATGAAGCTTACAATTAATAAGAAAGTGTGGAATAAATAATCACATCTAAGACTTTAGGACCAACGTTATGACATACAAAGGACAGAAAATATTTTATTATGTAGTTTTTTCTTAATAACAAAATGGAAAAATTACCTAAACACACAACTTATTTACCATATTCTCTAAATTTTCCTACCATTTGAAAAAATTACAAAAATCTCTATTCTCGTATACATCACTATACGCGATGTATCGAGATGTATTCAAAACTAAAATATGATGTATCAAAACATTGAGCAATGTGTCCAAAATGGGGACGCAATGTATCAAGACATTCTGGATGTATCCGAATTTCACTAAATTTAAGAAATTTTTGTAATTTGAAAAAGAGTAGGGATAGAATGTAATTAGCTTTTAACATATCCAACTTCCTCAAAACAAAATATGGGCCAACACACAAGCTATAGGACTACTAACCAGCAGTGAACCCTTAACGCGATTAATAATGATTGACACTAACAAGTCAAAAATCGTAGACCAAGCTGCAATAACCACCACCATTACCATTATGTTCCAATTTCAAGCAAGACGAGATCAGTAAATGAATACTATTTTGTCCATGGTTTAAAATTATAAATTCAGAGTAAATAAAAAATATTTGTAACTTAGGTCACCTACAAGATGATAACGTGATGGACCAGTCCTACTTACCAGCTATCATTTAGGTCTGTAAAATGTTCACAGCAGAATCAAGATTATGAACAGGAGAGTAAACAAAATCATCAAGAAATGGGGAAAAAATTCACATTTAACCAATCATGTGATTACCATTTCTTTCGAATATGGTGAGCAGCATCCAAAGGTAAATCAAATAAGCACAGTACTAAGACAATAAATACTAATAATCGCTACAACAATACAACAAGACAGGCTGAGAAATGAGGATAATATGTTTTGAGGCAAAGGGAATTCCCAAAAATCTATATCTGGTTCAGCAATTGCAAATGCCTGCACAATTTAAAGTTACATAAACGGATTCTGAACTTGATAGAAAATATGTGCCTGGATAATACTAGTTCTAGGAAAATATTTGTGTCGTTTTACCTTTGCTAACCAGTAAACACTGTTCAACAAATATAATCATTTCAACAACAGCTAATATGCACCTCGTCCAACCCTCCGATCATCTCGCCCCCTTCCCATGTATATATCACGGCGATAGTCTTTGGGTGGTGGTCCACCTCTCACTGGAGAACGGCTTCTTTCCCTGATATCACGGGGCCATTGGCCACGAGGTGGTAGTACTGGTGGATGAGGTGGAGATGGTGTTCGCCTTTCATAACCTTTTCTCTCACTCAAATAGCTGTCTCTCCCACGCTCTCTATGTCCCCAATCCAGGGCTGGAGGCCGTTCAAACCTACTTCGGTCCCTACCATCAGCATCAGCAAAATCAGGCCTATCTCTACGGATTGGCGGATCTGCAAACCTCCCTTCATATCTGGAATGAGGAACCCCAGCTCTGAAATCTCGGGGGTCATCTCTAGCCCAGCCACGAGGAGGGGACCTATACCCATTCACAAACCTTCCTGGAGAACGGTTGATTGGGGGGCCAGGATTGCGATGATGAGGAGGAGGGCTGGGATAACCCCTCCGAGGACTCCCTGGAGGTGCATATCGAGGCCTTTTGCACTTATTACAGTTCTCTCGTCTCGCAAAGTTCAAGTTGTTACACCTGCAATGTCAGGAAGCCGAGTAAGATACACAGCTATGACATCTAGAACAGAAGATATTTACTTCCCCTTTTTCTTCTTCGGAGTAAGCAATTATAGTTCTCGCCATGATTTAGAAGTCTGTATCCACAGACACAGGTCAGCAATAGACATCATTCAAACAACCAAAGTGCTACATAATGTCAATGATCTAATGCTTCCACAAAATCAAAGTACATCAGTCCTTTCAAAATCTACTTCTAGAACTGAATACTATTGAAGTAGTTCAATCATTACAATAATCAGAAAAAAACTCAATAAGTCCATTCAATATTCTTACTAGTTTCTCAGTTAGCAGCAAAGTTATCTTTGTTTAAGCTCTTCTTGCATAAAATGATGGTTTATTTGTCACTTAAATTTATTCTAAGCCTTGACAAAACAGAGCTTTTAGCATGAGAGAATTCCAATATAAGTTGTGATTCATCTGGCAACAAGTCACCTGAAGGCAAGGCGTAGGAATCATAGGTGCAAAAGTCATTAACTGCAATTAAAACTGATCATTGATTAGAATCATGTTTCAAGTGCTTCAAATGAAAGTTGGCTTTCAAGCCGATTTATACAGCAATGACAGATTGAAGCTCTCAATTAATTCAATCCATTCAATCAAGGACTTCTACTGAGCCCCAATCTTAGTCGTAGGATTCATAGGTGCAAAAATCATTTACTGCAATTCAAACCAATAAGTGATTAGAATCATGTTTCAAGTACTTCAAATGAAAGTTGGTTCTCAAGAAGTTCTAAAGAGACTATCTCCCATGCAGACGATCCTTATACAGCAACGGCATATTGAAACTCTCAATTAATTCAATGCATTCAATCAAGGAATTCCACTAAGTCACAATCTTAGCAGAGATACCATAACATTTTTAGGCAATGAAGGAGAACCATAAGTTTAGAAGAAAAGAAATGAGACACATTCAAAGGACAACTCAATGCTAACAGAAAATAGGGGAGAAAAAGAACATACAAGGGATCCGTGCACATCCAATCACCATCTCTTGGCCGTACATTTGGATTGCTTCTAGGCAGACCTTCTCCTCTAACTTGCCGTGCACCATAACCAGGTCCATCATAACTTCTGCCCACAAACCTGCCAGTGTGTCTCCCATGACCATAAGGAGGTGAATAGTCTCGATGTCTACCAGGATCTCTACCGCTACCAAATCCATGACTACGTGGTGGGCCACCTGAATGATCAAAATCAGTACTATACCGATGATCTGCATTCCTATGGCGCACAGGTGAAACAGAACCTGCATGCGCTCTATATCCTGAAAAAAATCCAGCGAATCCCAAACATAAGAGGCGCTATATCATGAGAGAAAGTTACCCATATTATTTCCTAATTAAGCTAAAGTGTGAAACCCATGAAATGCCAACAACAATTGGACTATGCTTGTATAACCAGTTACCATTGTTCATAGCCTGATGTCGAAAATAAGAGAAAGAGTAGCATGAAGAGAATGTGAATCTCAAGAGGATGACTGTCTTCAAAGTTATGTCTCAAATTAAATTATTACAGTGCATCAACCGTAGAGAACTACATTTTTCCATATCATCCACACCTGACATGATAATTTATTGAAATCCTCGAGGAAAAATAGACTTGGTTACTAAATGTTAAGCCAGTAGCACGGCGACACTCATTTCACGGTTGCCATTAATTCCCTCTAACCGAATCAAATAAAACCCATTTTCATCTATGAGAAACAACCAATACTACCAACGTAAGCAGTAATTGAGAACTTCAAGCCAGACTCCAAACTGCACCAGAGCCAAGGGACCTTACAATTACTGAACTGATAACAATCCAGGTAAAGTGCATACCATAAATTACCAAACTGCTAACAATTGAATCAAAATCCAACACCTTAGCCAAAGGACTGCAAATTGAATGAAACCAACCATAATCATCATAAACGCTTGTGCAAATGGCTGAGAAAATCCAATCACTGAACTCAACAAACCCCTTTCGCAAACCAGCTCACAGTATGTTGATAAGTCCTATTAAGTTCAAGCTTCTATATGGAATTGATGCGTCGAAACTTACATGGAATCTCTTATTCACCAAAGCAACTAATCCACATGCATACCCAATTCAACTCCTACTTAACCAGCAAATTAAAGTACTAAAAGAATAAATCCCAAAAGCCACTGCCAATTGGAGAAAGCAAAAAACTGAAAAGACTAAAACATTCATTAATTTCCCTGAATCCAATTGGCAAGGATTCGGATGGACTCAAAACACCAATAACCAGACAATCAGTGTCTACCAAATGATCTCTTCATAAGGAGTTGGGGTCTTTGTCATGTTTCACCAGTTACAACTCATCACCCTTGCAGAATTTCCGGCCACTCAACTATACAACTATAAAGACAATCAGCAAAAACACTTCATTCACAACATCAACCATTCAATGATGGATCAGGACTCTCAGATATCTCATGTATCATTCTCCAATCCATACAAGCTGGCAATCAATAGTGCTATCCCATGAAACACAACATGATACAAAAATTTCACAGCCCATGCAAAAGTCCATAAAATATAATACTTGATATATACTCTTTCCTGTTCAAAATACCCCAACAAAATTTCTCACCAGAACCCCACCATGTGCCTTCTTCAAGAGCAAAGTTCTTGCACCAGGCAAAGTGCTCAGCTGTAAAACACAATAGCAAAATTCATTCACAATTTAACACTCCATAAATGATACTGGAGAACAACGGGAATCAAGTGGGTGGATAAATGGTGTTACATCTCACTGAGAAATGTAGAGGCTTGGCACGAAAAAGATCTGTCTGATGAAATAGATCTCTCAAATGTGTCATGTTGATTGCCTAAAGCCTGTAAATCTCCCAAACTACCTCGTAAATATTATCTATAGTAAGAGCCCCTAACAAGTGGATTCAAGGACGATAGGAAGAGTCAAACTGTAGCAACTTCACTATGGCATTAGATATGAAGGAATTGATCATGAACTACAAAATACAAAAATTAGGGAGAAAATTAAAGAAGCTCACAAAGAAGTTGAGCCTCTACTTGTTTAAGCTAGCTGCATATGAGTTCACCAATAGTATACAACATCACTTTCATGGTTTAAACTTTCAGGGACGTATCGTTTTATTTGATGAAACCAGCGAGGTAGTTCACTGCAAAAGCTTGAACGGTGGAGACATACTCCAGAAAGTAAAGGCCTAGGATAAGTAGAAGTAAGATAGGATGTATGCACAACATGTAAGCATGCGTAAGAATTAAGAAAATTTTTAAAACAAAACTAGACCAAAATATCATGACCAAACTCGAAATGTGCTATGAGGGTGTCATGCAACAGACACAGTCATAGCAAAGTGAAAGAGAATGGTTGTGAGACCATCTATACTAAATGGAGAGATTGTTGAGCCTCTAAAGGCCCAACATAGCCACAAGACAAAGCCTCAACGAAATGAGAATGTTAAGATGATTCTGTCATACAAAATTACTAAATGATTAGGAACTGATCAAATAGACAAAAAGTGCAAGTGAAAACCAGAGGAAAAATGACCGAGATGATTAGATCATACTACACAGACCAAATACGTCAGTCAGTGAACTAGGGATGATAACACCATGTTAACTGAAGATGAACTACAATCAAATATAGCACATTTGTCTTAAAAGACCTACATTATCTTAGAAATAACATGGGCTAAATTAAGAATGAAACAAATTAGAAGCAAAGAACTGTTATTAAGTTATAGTAACTATTGACACTTGTAACAAACTAGGCTTCTGCTAAGAGTCTTTTGGTTACATTCTTTTTTTACGCTGAATCTTTTTGGTTATACATTACAACTGTAGGAATTAATGTAAAACTTAGAGATACCCTAATTTGTCCAACAAACAAATAAACTACTAAGCAATGGAGTGCAATAAGCACCGACAGTAGGATTGATATATAGGACGCAAACTGTTAGGGCAGTAGGATTGATATATAGGACGCAAACTGTTAGGGGTCGTTTGGTTTGAAAATGAGTTATGATGGGATAAGTTATGTTGGGATAAGTTATGTTGAGATTAGTTATGATGGGATAAGTTGTGTTGGGATTATTTTTTATTGAGTGTTTGGTTTGTTGTATTCAAAATAATAAATTTTAAGAACAATTTATTTGTTTACAAAAATGCCCTTCATTAATGTAAAAAGTGATATAACAAAAGGGTTGAAAGAGACATTTTTGTCGTTTATCTATTTTATCCCGGTACTAATTATTAATCCCGGGATAAGTTATCCTGAACTTGCCAACCAAACAACAAAATAAGCGGTACTATAATTTAATCCCGGGACTATTTGGTATTATCCCTTACACCAAACGACCCCTTAGGGTTTACCATTGTTGACATCAAATTAACTGATAACCACACTGCAACAGAAGATATAAATGTGTAAGCCAAATGAGACAACTGTCAGCAATTAGCACCCAAAAAGCATGCCCTGACCCTTTGAAAGTGCATGAGTTAACCTGCTCTAAAAACAAAAATGCAAAATGTGTAATATGAAAGGAATGACACGCCACATCCATGAGAAAAAAGGAGACAACACATGTCAATCCATATAGACATACACAGAGTTATTTTAAGAATTTCCAGCAAAAATAAACAATTACTGTAACTTTCACCAACAATCAGATCAATATACTCTGTTCGATCTAGACGTGAAGATCCATAAAAGTTTCCAAGTAATTTGGAATAGTTAACTAAGTGACCTTGAGGGCTCCAAAATTGATAAACAATTATGGTGAAAGAAAAATGATAAGAAAAGGACAAACCATGGCTATCAGAGAATCGATCGGAACGTGAATACGGCGGTGCATCCCGACGAACCTCACCTGGCTCGTAGTCGCTACCGGCACCGCCACCTCCATTTTCTCCGCCACTGTCAGTAGGCCGTACAACTAGGCTGCTCAGGTGCGGTGTCGGCTGGTCCTTCTCACGCGAACCCATATTGCGCTCTCCCTCTCTCTCTGATGCCGCACTCTGTGGAGATTGTCTTTTTTCTGTATGAAACCCTAGTCGGTACCTAGTATTTGGGTATATTGGGGAGATTCCTTCTTTTTCATATTTTACATCACTTTCTGTATTAATTACATATTTATTAAACTATTTTCAGAATAAAAATTATTTTTATATTAAATAAATAAGAATATTTATAAATGATATTAAATTAAATATTTAAGTTATATATTGTCTTTCTAGAATATATTAATGGATAAACATATGTTATTAATTAATATAGTAAGAAATTAATTTATATTTTAAAATTAGTAAATTTTAATTAAATTAATCATAAAAACTAAGGGGTCATTTGGTAGGTTGTGTAAAAATAATGCTAAATAAAGTATATTAACAATGCTTGCATTAATAATGTTTGTATTAGTTATACTTGCATTAGTTATATATATAGATTATTTCTTATGTGTTGTTTGCTTTGGTGTATTAAAAACAACTTCAAAAATATCCTCCACAATTATTTTGAAAAGGATATAAAAGGGGTTTTGAGGGGTATTTATTTCTTTGAAATGTTAATGCATGCATTAAATTCCTTGATATTACTAATACCTAGATATTTCATGGTATTAGTAATACACTCTCTAATATACATTAGAGCATGAAAAAAGTGCATCAAACAAGGTATCACTAATACATAAAGCTAATACATGCATTAATTTTGCTAATACACTCTACCAAAACAATCCCTAAAAGTATCAAACATCATGAAATGTATATTTAACAAAAAGATTAATATTATAAATGTAATGACATAAAATTATTAAAACTAAAAGTACAAGATTTCTTTCACTCCAATGGTCTTTCACAAGCAACATTAGAGGGCTGAAGTAATTAAGAGTTTGCAACCTCAAGTTGTAGATGAAACATAAAGAGATAGTTGAACTCAAATCAGTTCAACATTTAATAAGCAATTAAACAACATCCAATCAATAAATTAATCATCCATACATTGCACATTCCTAAGAATAGGGAGATAAGCTACTCACAACAAAATGTAATAGAAATATACCAAAATTCTCATCCTTAATAGCTACTTGATTTGAAATTCTAAGATTTCAATCCCCAAAACCTTCAATATCAAGAAGGCTCTACCCAATTTTCAAGTACAAGCTTAATCTCCAATAGTAGGAATTTTTTTGTAGAGAGTTAGAAAATTCATAATGGCAAAAAGTATCTCTCTTCAAAAAGTTATTTATATGTTCACAAAACTTTTCTTGAAAATGCCCTCTATGTCATTTCGGTGAACTAAGTCGGCGAGGGCACGCCGAGTAGGTCAATGATGCGCCGAGTCGGTCGGCGATGCGCAATCATCATCAATCAGGCTTTCCAACTTTTATTTTTTTCCTTAAGGTGTATTAAATTTGACGACACCAATGACCTTCGCCGAATCACTTCGGTTATACGCAACCTTCTCCCTTCTATGGCCAAACTTAGATGAACTTGAGGGATGAGAAATATAACCTTCGACAATGTGCTGAGTCAACTTGGGCGATGCTCAACACTGCCTTTGCATATTTCTCCAAATCCTTTGACTTCTTTTGATCTCTTTTATCTTCATATCATCTGTATGCTCTCATATCTGAAATACAAACACATTTTGATCAGAAAAGTACATTGTGGACATTACCTTTGGTGAAATAGAAGCCTAATATGAGTCCAAAATCCTTGATTGTTCACTACTATAAAAATTTCAAAAATAATGGATTGTCTCCTATCAGCGCACAATTTAACGTCACAGCACAACGCAAACTACCTCATCTTTTATGTCTTAATTTTGAAGATATGAATCGCTTCCCCAATTTAAGATCGAGAACATGGTTATTCAATGACACTAATCTTCTTTTGATCTTCAATGAAACTAATCTTCTTTTGATCCCAAAACATCATATCATGGAATCTCCTTTCATTCTCATCTATGTGAATAACAAATCAACTCATTACCTCACGAAAGGCTATCTTTCGACCAGATTTGGCAACTAGAATTGAACCACAATTTCTCTTTCGAGCAAACTATAGAAATCAAACCTAAATTGCATGCATCAAGTTATTTACCCACTTTAATTGATCTCTTTTGAGTGTCAATTAAAGATCTAGACAAGGATTAAGTTTGAAATCTTAACTCATACATGCTAAATTACTCAAATCTATGAATGAACAACAATAAATTAGAGTAAGGCACAAGACCCAAAATTAAATCAACACCCAATCACACCCCTAGAATCAAGGATTTAGCCAGTCATTATAATAGGAGTAGAAAGTATAATAATGTTGTTTCCAGCCATAAAAGAGTTAGAAATTTGCAACAATCTTCAATACCCACTTCAAATTTTACTCATAATCGTCAATTACAAGAGTGTTAGAAAAACTCCTAAAGAGCCTAGTTCTTAATATAAAAAATAAAGTACAGTAGAACACTAAATTTTGGAAATGGAAAAAACTCTCCTCTTTCTCTATCTGGCTACTTATAGTTCACCAAAAATTAGCCTAAAATTCCATACGTGACTCACTCGACAACGTTAGTCAGCCTTGCCTAACACATTCAGCGATTCACCGTCTCTGTTCTTTAGCTAGCCCTTCATTTGCTTCAAGCTTCAGGTGTTTGAACCTCAGTTGGCAAACTCGATCGAGTCAGCCTATCATGTTCAATAGATCACTGATTACTATCATGTTTGCCCATTCAACTTTCTTTTTTACTCAAAAGTTTGTCACCTTTAACGATGGAACTTCAGCTCACCCAACGACATCGGTGAATTGTTGTTTCAACTTTAGTCTGTCAACTTGCCTTGAATATTTTTAATTGTGAACACTGTCAACTTGGGCGAGCTTTGACCAATTGGGCGATCTGCCCTTTTGGTTAGGCGACTACCCATTTGGAGTTTGTAATCCTTCCAATGTTTTTGACCTCCTTTTTCATATACTCATCCTTGCCTTGTCTTTTATCCTTTATAACTTCAAAATGTCAAAATATCATCATATAAGGACACAAATAGGCATTGCGGACACTAATTGTTGAACTAAAAAGGCTTCAAGTGAGTGGAAATCTACGACTAATCAATACCCCTAACTTAAACATTTGCTTGTCCTCAAGTAAATCAAGAACACAATTAGTTCAACAAGGCTGTCTACAACAATTCTCAAATGCCACTGAACATGCAAGTGTCACCAAAAAACTACTAAAAAGTAAATGGAATATTGAAATCATGCTCAAGAAGCTTCAAAAGATGACTGGTCGATATCAATACAAGCTCAAGCTCACTCATGCTCTCTAATAATGCAAAATCATATTGCTTCAAGAAAACCATTTAAGTGCGCTCACATAAAAAAAAAAGAGCTCTCACAAAGCACATCAACAAAGAAGTTAGGAATCAATACAACTCCTCACTCTCTAAAAAAAAATACATGCAAGTTGCATCCCATAGGTTTGCCTATATTATCCAATAATCACACAACCTAGTTTAAGCAAGATCTCAAGGGTATTTTAAGCTTGAAATGGGGCTAAGGATAAAGGTATGGTCAATTTGACTTAGTGACTTCACCTTTTCAAAGCATTGTTGTACTCATTTTCATATCTTCTCAAGTTCTTTTCATTTTTTCCACTTGAAAACTCAAACCTCAATTTTTCACTCAATTTATTGGACACCCTTTTTATTTCATCACAACCTTCTTTTTATTTCATCACAACCTTCTTTTTATTTCATTTTCATGTTTTTGCTCACTTTTTTTATAAGGAGGGGTTCCTTTTTTTTGCTATAAACTTTAAGGTTGAATCTCACTTTTCTCTATTCTTTTTCACTTGAATTTCTTTTCTCCTTCCTTTCCACACCCCAAGTTAGGATTTTGGCCTAAATTGGCTATTTAAACAAATCAATACTTAGAAAAGAGTTTATTAGTGAGAAGTTAAGAACATATTTGGATCAAGAGTTTTCAACAAAGATGACAACAAATGATTTAGGCTCAAATGATGCCAAGATGGTTGCACACCCTCACTAGGTAGTCACAAAAGGTATGAAGTTTTTGGGTTCCCTCTAAAAAATTGTGTTCAAGATCATTTCTTGCATTCACCAAGGCTAGACAATTAGATTAACAAGGAAAATTCTAGGAATCAACAAGCATGCTTTTAAGTATGACATCACCACACATGACACTTTAAACACAGTCATTTAACACAACTCTACAAAATCAAAAGACATGTGTGCGATGTTCATTGCAAGGCTCACATCAATACGCAGCTAGTCAACACAAAAATAAAAAAGATCATTCGCAAGTAAAGCAACACTGATTTTCTCATGTAATATCAACACACGATACATCTCTCTTCATAAGTACTATCCAAGACATCAATATTGAACAAAATCAATCATGAAATTTCATCGATGAAAACACAAGCCATAACTCCAAAAATATGAGCCAATGGTTAGAGGGCCAAAATGAGATTAAAACCAACCAAATATCATAAATAAAACAAAAATACTACAATATCTCAAAATAAAATTGAAATAACAAAATACAATCCAAAAAGGGGAATGTAGGCACATGTACCCTTACCCCACAAAAAAATATTAAGCAGCATCTTCAATGCTATCAAAATGCAAGTGCGGGAGGAGAATGATTGAAAGGTCCCCCTGACAGGCTATGCCTCTAAACAAATCTGATTCTAAGGCTCGGAGGGGATAACATCATGTCGGTATCAGTACCTCACACAACTGAAACAGAAGGCAACAATGTAGCATCAACCAGGGCATCATTGTATGGCACATCGGGATGAGGAATAGTAGAGTCTTAAGGACAGACCCTACTAGTGCCAACCATGGAAGTATCTAAATTCACGTGCACTGTCGACTCTTCTATCTCATGTAGCTTTGCTAAAGTCTCAGCAATCACCCTTTCACCGTCTCTCTGAAACTCATCCTCATTAGTCTTCTAGGCTACATCATCCTCGGCATCATCAACATCTGTTGGGTGATCAGCTACCCTACTAGGTGCGTTAGTTCTCAGTTTAGTAG